ATATGAATTATTATAATTTTTTTCACTTTGAGGAATATAAAATGAGGCGTAATTAATTGCATGGACGTAAGACTACTTAGAGAAATAGATTGGTGACAGAAAAATTCTTCACTAATTCATTCCAGGGGATGAAGAATAAATAAAATGTATCAGATGTGTAGAAAATACAAGCAATAGAGAATGTATATGGAATGGGAGATCGAGGATGGGGGTGGTGGGATTGGGTGTAAACAGAGGTTGACAAACGGTAAACAAAAAGGTAAGGTACACTCTGGGGTGAATCAACTCTGGGGCTCGTCGACAGACGTTTTCGTAAGCCAGTGGTACATCCCTCTGGTAGTTCTTTTCATCCAACCGAGAGCACCACGTCCAGAGCCCATCGCGCGACTCAAACGCACGACACGAAGGGATCTCGGTTTGTTTGAAGAAGAGAGATGGATCGGCCAGACGCTCTCACAAGTGCTATGGATAATATTATTTTCCCTTTTTTTTATATAAAAAAAAAGGAAATTGTAGGGAGTGACATCTTTCCCTGCAGTCCGCAGAAAAATACGAGAGGATTCTGACGTTTTTGATATAATAGTCTAGTCGTAAACAAAAATAATATCCTTCTGGCACTGAAATTCTTGGGGGAATACGAAACTCCCGCGTATCGCCAAATTTTTGGGTTTCCGTGGATAAATATCTTCCAGGGATGTTCCTTTGAAATTTCATATTGTTGGATTTTGTTGTAAAGTGGGCGATTTAGTAGTAAAATGAATTTACAGGCGAAAACCAATTTTGGATGTGAAATGTGAACCTGCGCTTCGTATGATGGGGAAAAAATAATAACTGGAAATGTAAAGTAGCCCATGTTTGCAAAAAAAAACATTAACAAATAAATAAATGAATAGAAATATTTTCATGTTTTTTGAGAACTGAAATGCGAGATATTGTTGATGGATTAAAAAACATTTTTCGATTGTATAATAATGAAACAGAGTTTAATTTCACTAAATGGGTGAATATAAATATATATACAGTAGAGTCTACTATAAATAAAAAAAATTAAAAATACTGTACAGAAAATATCAGAACGATTTTTGCATTGATGAAAAATCAAAATGAAAAATGGTTCACTTCAATTCCCGAAAAATTGATTACCAGCGAAATCTATTAACACCTGACAAAAAAAACTGCCGATTGGTTCTTGTTTTATAAACGGTTCATTGTAGTAATGTTTATTACCTCAATCCCTCGAAATGACTTTCATTCCGGGTTGGTTGGAATTGAGTACACGGACCTAGCCATTGGTCAAATTCAAAGTAATTGAATTTATGAGGTCATGTTGCATGATACAGAAGCACGCGAGAGCATGCAGTCAGTCTTGCTCAACTAAATTATTCCTTCAGGCCGATCTCTATCTGTATTTCAAAAATATTGCTAGCCGGCCAGCAATAAATAATGCAGATTCATCATCATACACTTTTCAGTCGAATCGAGAGCTGCATATAAAAAATTCGAATAATTTTCGGATGAAGGAAAAAATAAAAAAGTCGCCAGAAATGACGGTGCAGTCTCTTTGTTCAGTATTGAGTTTTTTGGGTCAATGCAAGAGTCGATAAATTATTGGATTGTCGCAATCGCTGTGATTATTCGTTTAATCCGCACATATCATTGTCGCATGAATTTCCGTGCAAATAGAGACGCTATCTCCCTGGAGAGTTACTATTGTGTCACACGGCAAATCAAGTTTTCCGGTAATTTCATTGTACGGGAATTGTTACTCCGTGGAGTGAGGTACCGGGTATGTGGGGAAATTTTAGGGGAATTCATGAAACCATAAATAGCACAGATTTGGAAACGAGAATTATCACTTTAATCACTCACTCTCCAATTTTTCCAGTAATCATTTCATTCCGCGGAAAATTCACCAATTTTTTAACAATTTATCATTTTCAACTGATTAATTGGGGTCCAATGTTTAATAAGGACTGGGCAATGGTTTTGAATATTAAACTGTTAACTATTGGTATGTAAAGTACCAAAGCACTCAAAACATTCAAACTCCCACATTTTATCGGTTAATTTGACGTTTACACTCGATTCTTCGTTGTCATCCTAAATTTTTAAATACTTGTTTTGGCCTCTGGGTCTACTGAGATGTACGTTCGTCTGGACCATTCAAGTTTAATGTTCAACATAAAACATGGATAATTTTCAACAATAAAAAGTTGAGTGTAGTTTCGCGTCCTGTGCAATCAACCAGCAGTGGAAACTGTAATTATTACTCAATTTCGCTTCTCCAATACTATCACAATAATAATTACTAGTATGATATTAATTGATGGGTCAATCCCGGGTAGCAGTGTGCTATTCATAGAACTTTAATTTTCCTGAAAAAAAAATATGGCGAGAGGATTTTTCTGTGTCAATTATACGAGGCGAGTATTGAGATTGAGAATTTTTATTGCGGAAATAATATGAGTCTTCTCAAAAAATTTTATTTTCTGCACAAGTTAGAGATGGAATTCGTAGTATTACTTCTCCGTTATTAGATGCTTCCAGACATATTTTTTTTTTCTACCAACAAATGATTGTCCTACAGGAAACGAGAGATATTAGTTTATCGATTCGCAGAAAAAAAACTAAACAATCATTGAATAATAATAATCAGATGATCGCAATCTCATAACCTGGTCTGTTAAAAATTTCTTGAAATCCCAGTCGCAATGTCTGAATTTTCAATTATTAGATTGAATTGCATTTTTTGAAAACAACAAATTTCGAATTTATTTTCTAATGCCAAAAAATTGAGGTTTCCACGTTAAATCATTATTTATTTTTGGAGTAATTTTTGCCAGAACCTTTAGTACATACAAATGTACGTAAATTATAATTCCAATTCGTAAGTATAATTACGCACAATTTCAATTTCATAATTAACGAATTTAAAATAAATAATTTTTTGTATGAACATAACGGATTGTGAAGTGAAATTTATTCTCGAAATAATGACCATTTTCATTTATATTTTTCCCGATGAATAAATAGCAGTCTCATTAAAAAATCCGTAATATACGATGCCACCCACACCATCAATCTTGTAATAAGTAAAGTGCGGAAAATCCGGGGAATTTTCTAATAGCAATTCTCTCCTGAATTTCATATCTTAACAAGCACCAGTGAATTTCACGGTAATATTTGCCGAGGATCAGTGTACCTTGCTCAGCCATCAATCTTCCTTGGTGCAGCATAAGAATGATGGAAGAGGATGTAAAGAGAGATAGAGCAGAGTACATCGTGTCGGGGATTAAAAATATTCCACGGCCGAGCAATTCATGGATATGTGCCTTGATGCAGCACAGCCGACAGAACTTGATGTATATTGTCTGTCTAGAGGGGGTGAGAGGGAAAAAAATATTCGGACGATGGAAATTCCTGGAATTGCTTTGCCAGGGGGGGCGACGATGAAGATGACGGAGAGGGATGGGGGCAATCCCAAGGGTGACTGGCAACTACCAAGACCCATACTTGAGACTTGATAAGGAGATGACTTATAATGACTTATAATAACTGATTATTTTTTAAATGAGTCACTTGATCTTTTATGAATATTCTGTAATATTCCAAATTATGTTTTTTGGAATGTTCAACTAAAACCTTCCATCTTGAGAGTTTAATCTGATAATTTCAATTTTCTCTACAGAAGTGGTCTTACTTGTATATTTATTATTGAATGCTAACTCAGAAAATGAAAATAATGGAACGGTGAGAGTTTATCATGGACCACTTACAGACGCATTTAAATTAGGCTGAATTTACCCATGAACTACGTTACGCTTTACTCTAGATTAATTACAGTTTTACGATCGTTTACACACATCCAGGAATCCCAATTGAAGGAAAACGTGGTAATATATAAGGAGTAATTAGTCAACGCCTCTGTGTTAGACTTATTCTGAAATTGGATCTGTATTAGCTCGCTCCTATTACAGGGAAATTTGAGACAGTCAACTTGAGCAACTTATCAGAAAGACCGTTTCAGCTCGAAATCATGAGACAAATGACATAATTTTGCCAATTTATTCACCTCGAGTGATTAATTAATGAATTCGAATTTTGCTGCCAGAAGTCGTCAAAGAAATCGAGTACAACATTTACAATAATAATAGCCTTGATAGTGAAGAACTCGAAAAATTAATTGCTGAAAAGCTATTTCCTATTTCTGTTCGTACCTCGATAACGAGAATCTGATAACATTTATTCAACTTTCCGTTTCTATGGGTAATGAATTGCCCTTTGGTGATAATATCGTGCGTATAACATGCAAAATCGATATATAATCAATTGCTGTTTCAATACAGTATTCAACGTGTATTCAATTTCCCCAAACGTCCAAACTCATGATTAATACTGCGAAAAATTATTCCAAATTTTCATTTCCGAAATTGCAGATGTGTATCTGTAATTAACCGCAATTAAGCGATTATCTAAATACAATCCACGAAATTTAATTTTGATAATTCCCAAAGTTTGATTATGTTCCAAAACCGTTTGTTTGTCCCGGGATTCATTGATTAAAATCGAACATTCAGGACAAAGAAAAAGTGTTGATTTCCAAGTGAGTGTTATAAAATGGCCGAAACCGATGCCGTGATCGATTTTTCTGTTGTCTATTCCTCCCGAGGTTCATCGATTAAAGTCGGAGACTTCGTACATAAATTAGGAAAAATGTGTTGATTTCGAAAGAGTGCAGGAAAATCGGTGTTTCCATCGATTTTCACTGAAATTCATCGATTAGAGTTGAGTATTTAGTCCCTAAATTCGGGGAAACGTTGATTTGCACGGGATTGGTGAAAAATATTTGAAATCGGTGAGTCCGAATATAATGTTGACTGGTAAACGACGATGAGGTGGGGGATACCGGTGTCCTCGACCGAGCGTTGCCGAAGTTCACCGATGTCCCACGGGTAAGCACCAACGGCGCGACAGTCTCCCCACCACAGTAGTGAATCGGCCAGCGCGACGTAAACACTATCGTTATCGTGCGCGCAGTCGAGTCCCCACACTCACGCGTTGTGGTACATTCTCTTTCATTCGAAAATAATAATAACAGACCAAGTGATTCATTCCGTACCGATGTATCGGCACACCTAGTAGATCACCCAGTTATCGAGTTCAGTTGAGTGTCAGTGCGTCGAATAAACTCAGCCTAAATACCGTGTGTTTGTCAACAAGAGTTGGTCATTGTAAATTATTCCTTGAATTCTGGTTCGTTCGGGAGTGTTTCAAGAACAAGTTGAAGACGATGGCGAGTTCATGTGGGCGTGCAACAGCCGTTGCCATCCTCGTGCTGCTATACCTAGGTGAGTGATGGCGTCGACCATGAGAAAATACTATCTCTCTTGCCCCCCTCTCTTTATTTTTTTTTTTATTTCATTACATTCCTTATTCGTGCGTACAACCGGATTCCTTCGAGATCGATAACGATCGATCTTCGGTGGATTTATCGTGCCCCAGTGTAGTGCAGTTTTAAACTGATGGGAAAGAATGCGCAGTGGAATAAATCAAATCAGAGGGTCAATCAAATATCAAAACAAATATCAAAACAAATATCAAAACAAATATCTAGTGGTGATTTCTCATGATGGTGGAATATTATTACACCGATAGGTCGAGTTTTTTTTTTTCTTGGCGAGGTTAATATCGCGTACTGAGTTGAGGAGTAGTGTTCTTATATTATTTGCGGTGGTAGTGGAGGTAGAAATGAGAAAAAAAATCTCATTGCTTCGTACGTGCGGAGATTTGAAACGGACGGTTTCGCGCGTCGGGAAAGTTCGTTGGCCGTGGCGCCGGTTTGAATTTAACCGTCGGTTCTCGATGCTCTCTCTCTCGGCAGGTATCACCTTCAAACCTGTATAAAAATCCCCCGCGGGCGAAAATGTGGGACTAGTTTGTGGAGTTCTGCGTGCAAGATTAGAATTTCTGTTTTTTTTTCCTTTCTCCGTTTCGTTGTTTTTCGGAATGTGTGGATGAATGTGGAGGTATGGAGGGAGTTATTTATGCACCTGACAGCGCGTGGGAAAGTGATTCGATTACTCGGGTTAAAACGTGCGGAAGGAAGTGGAGTTCCTCTTGTCCCACGGGAACCCGGGAATGTTGCAAATAGGTATAAAAAAAGAGAAACATAAGAGATGTCGAATTGATAGGGCAATTGCGCATTCTTTTGTTTTTGAAAATTTTAGGGATGAGTTTAATCATATTTCTCTCGCAATTTGATGGTTTTCAAATTTTCACAAAGAAATCGGCACGAAGCCGAGAAAAATCGTGGAATTTGAAAGTTTCATCATATTTTGGAATTATCTCGCCGAAGGAAGAGTTAGATATAGACATTCAGAGGCCTTTTGTAGAGGATTTTGCGTAGCACAAAATAGGTCTTTCCATATTTCTCTCGAGCTCAACGGGATTCTCCTTTCACTGCACGAAGAAAAATAGAATAATCGACAGATATTTCCGAAACTTGTCGTTTCCCAAAAAAAGTATCATAAAATTCTTCAAGTAGCTCAGAATCTTCCCATGAAGAAAGTCTCAAATTGTTCTGGAAATCCTCTGGTTCTCAGGCATTAGGAGAGTAATCCACATAAGAATTCCAATTTCACCTTTAACATTTTTGACTCCCCCAAAAAATTTGTCTAACATTAAAATTAGAAACGGCCATAAAGATGACTTTTAACACCTGTACAAATGGATGGTGTAATAAAATGCACCTGGCTAGGAGGCGCCAGAGCACCTTGTTCTCCTGTGGGCTCACAATCAACAATGAATTTTTGAAGACCCTAGGCCCTTTTCCTCCTCGGTGTTCCCATGATCATCATCTCCCTTAACGACCCTGAGAAAAGTCAAAAGTCTATACCTGAATTGTACAAGAGCACTCACCATCCCTCCATGGCCTTCTATTTACTCTATCCCTCAAGGTTTTGACTAACCGCTCAAATGAAGAAATCTCGATGCCCCAGAAGTATTTGCTTTCTACTCTTGTATTCTTTCTGCGACGTCAGGTGGTAAATTGCTCGGCATAAATTTCCACCTCGAATTATCTTTTTTGACCCACGGGTAAAACTACACGGATTATAAATAACCACTGTCGTACCCCGGCTGAAACGAGAATATGAATCATTATCTGCACGTCAAGGGATACGAATAAAGTTGCTTTGATATTTATGGAAGAAACCACAATGAAGAAAAACATGCAAAAATTCTTGAGAATATTCGCGGCTTTAGTTTCCCTTTCGTCTGAAATATTCGTAGAGATATGGAATTGAAAACGATTCCATAAATCAAAGATTTATGCTCTTTCTTCGTCCCCTTAGATTTCAACTGGAAACCAGAAAATGTTTGACAGAACTTTATGAGACGTTTTTATGAACTTTTTTCAATGAGAAAAAATTTATTCGCTTAAAATTCCGATTTTGGGAATATTTGTTTCTCCCACATGTTTACCGAAAATTCCCCGAACCATTGACTATGTTTACTTGAGAGAAACAAATTACTTTTACCTCAATTGAATTTTAATCTATCGCTATCGTTATCAATTCTATCCTGAATGCATTACAAATGGCAACATTTCAACTGTAAAACAGGAGATCATTAAACCGTACAATTTGCACAATTGAGAAAAAATGATTTGTCTCAAAAAATATTCTCCACAAATTAGAATTTTGTCTTCTCCGTTTCTTTGTAAAATCAATTCTTGAGTTCATATTTCCGGAATTTTAACTTTTTCTTGAAAATTGGAAAAAAGCACATTCCAATTACCCCAGTGCATCTGGCAAATGCATAACCCGTCTGTCCGCGTCATCTGCGACTCGAGGCATCCTGAGGACTCCCTCCTCAGTCCAACGAACCTCAAGACAGTGGTCTCTGTACCCAGGCAATAACACAACTAGCAACCAGCGAAGTATATCTCAACCCCGTAATCACGTTGAACGTTATTCGTTTTTCCATGTCGTTTACTCGCCAACTTTAAAGCACTTCTCAAATGCACCGCCATCACTCGTTAAGACTTTTCCTCTGTACTGACATAGCTTTTTCTACACTGGACGAATTCCAGGGTATTCCACCATTTAAGTTGCTAAACATTTTTTCCCCTCACGTAAAATCGGATGAATCCAAGCGGAATTGGGATTGTCGCGTTTTCCACTAGTTTTTGCCAATTTTTTTTTCTTGTTTTTTCGCTCTCTTCTTTTTACTGGATGAACCGTGGAATTTGCGGCTCTTCAGTTAACCTGGCTAGATTTACAGCCGATTTATAAATTCAACCACGGATTGGAGATACCGTTGCACGAGACGATTTCACTTTCAGAGGAAACTTGCGTACCGTTCATTACAGGGATTCGCTGGGGAATACTCTGGCTTGTTAGGATGTATCGATTACTTTAATGCAAGTACTCGATAACTATCCAATTACCTTTAAACTGGCACCTCTGAAATATTTATGAGGTCATTTCCTTTATCTTGTTTATTTATTTGGAGTTTATGCCCTTTGGGAATCGGGTTCTTTCCAATTATTGTTTTGGTGCGGAGTTTCGTTGGCGTTTTTTTTGGGGTGTGAGGACTCTTAATGGAGATTATCGGAGGGAGATGGGAGGATTTTTGTGGCAAGATTTTCTGGAGAAGAAATGGGGGCTAGGCTAGTGCTAAATATTGTGGTGAATGTTTCGGATTGTGAATTGGGTTCTGAGAAGTTTGGGTTCGTCCTGAGGTTTTATTTGATATTTGGGAATAGGAGAGGAATTGGAGTTGTTGTATAGGGAAGAATTTTCTGGAAAACACTACACTATTTTTGGATATAAAAAAACACTTATCAAATCTCCGATTTATTATGAAAAAACATTTTTCTTCAGATATATTCACATATCACTGAATGTTTTCCATGTATTTGTCTTTGACATCAATCAATTCTTTTGAAATATTTACTTTCAATTCAGAATTCCAGTGACGAATTTTCGAAAATCCATTAATTTTTAATGTCATCTTAACACTCAAGATGAGAAGATTGAGAATTCAAGTTGTCATGGAAATTTCGACATTTCTTTCTCAGAGAGGACTGAATTCCTCTGCATTTAGATTCGAATAACATTCTGAAATTAGTATGTAACTGTCAATTAACTGCCACAAAATTTCCGATAACGTATTAGTTTTCAATGTGACATTTGATATGGGTTCTCATGAATAATATTATGTCAAAATAACTCTTCACTGTCAGGAAAAAAATTGGCAAAAATCAAAATCCTCGAAAAAAGGTGCGTTCTCTCTTAATACTCTCAGGTCTCTGTAGAACAGAGATGATAAGCAATTATCTACAAAAAAAAACAGCTGAAAACTTGTGACACCCTCTGAATTTCGGGAAATTCTTCAAAGACCAATGAACTCAACTGAATTCCCATTACTATCGGATTGTTGCTTTTGTCTGAGTCTACCCTTCCACGAACTTTAATTTCTTTCTGATGTTAAAAATCCATCTTCACCAAATGGTAATTTAGGGACTAAATGTTTGTTTAATATATCAACTGGTGATTCAGACTTTCAACGCGTGAGTTAACGCCGCAGAATACCGCCGAAGCGGATGCGTGTGCCTCAAATGTGTTCTTTATTCCATTTTTTTTTCTTCTTTTTTCTAGTGAAAAATTTCTTTGACGCCTTTCAAGACCCTCAATGACCCACTTGTCAGTTTCGAGAGCTAAACAAAATCTTGAATATGTGAAATGTGGTGTACAGTTGTGGTTATTGTTCCCGTAGGCTCTTATATTTGGAAAGAAAGACGAATAGAGGGTTTTACATTTTATGCGAAAAAGAAAAAAAATATGAAGAATATGGAAGAATGCGTCACGGAGATTCTGAGCCGGGGACGCACGTGTAACATTAGCCATCTCAGCACTCCGCGTCATTATCTTCCTGGTTTTTTCTTTTTCTTTTCTTTTTCACGTGAAAAAGTGTACGTTAGCCCTGCGAAATAGAGAGCAGACGGGTCTTTTATTCGTAAAGAGCTTTTATTGTGAATGGAGGTGCAACGGTGGAACAGAGGAATCACTTTACATGCCTCGTGGCAGAGGTGAGGACCAATCTCTGGACTAGATGGTCATAAAAGAACATTAGAGAGGAAATATTGACGAATTTCGATGACTGGGATACGGGAAATAGAGGGAATTGTTCAAGGGTCACTTGGAGAAATGATAAAATCGACGACGTGCGAGGAATTTTTATTGGATGAAAAATGCCTTTGAAATGGCATTCGGTAGCAACGGTTTTTCAATATATTTGTTCGATACTGGGGATTAAAAATATTTCCGCATAAGTCGTTCCATCA